TATTGTCAATGTGCATAACTATTCACCCCCCTAAAGTCAATACTTTGTAGAGCCACCTTTTGCGGCAATCGCAGCTCCAAGTCGCTTTGGATAAGTCTCTATGAGCTTGCCACATCTTACCACTGGGATTTTTGCCCATTCCGCCTTGCAAAACTGCTCCAGCTCCTTCAAGTTGGATGGTTTGCGCTTGTGAACAGCAATCTTTAAGTCTGACCACAGATTTTCTATTGGATTGAGGTCTGGGTTTTGACTAGGCCATTCCACCACATTTACAGGTTTCCCCTTAAACCACTAAAGTATTGCTTTAGCAGTGTGTTTGGGGTCATTGTCCTGCTGGAAGGTGAACCTCTGTCCTAGCCTCAAATCATGCACAGAGTGGTACAGGTTTTGCTCAAGAATATCCCTGTATTTAGCACCATCCATCTTTCCCTAAACTCTGACCAGTTTCTCAGTCCTGGCTGCTGAAAGGGACTGATGCTGCCACCACCATGTTTCACTGTGGGGATGGTGTTATTTGGGTCATGTGATATTTTGGGTTTGCACCAGACATAGCGTTTTCTTTGATGGCCGAAAAGTTCAATTTTAGTCTCATCAGACCAGAGCACCTTCCTCCATACATTTTGGGAGTCTCCCACATGCCTTTTCGCAAACTCAAAACGTGCCATTTAATTTTTTGTTGAAAGTAATGGCTTTCTTCTGGCCACTCTGCCATAAAGCTGAACTCTATGGAGCATACAGCTTAGTGTCATCCTATGTACAGATACTCCAGTCTCTGCTGTGGAACTCTGCAGCTCCTCCAGGGTTACCTTAGGTCTCTGTGCTGCCTCTTTGATGAATGCCCTTCTTCCCTGGTCCATGAGTGTTGTGCCATGTTCTTTCCATTTGATTATGATAGTTTTGGTGGTGCTCCTGGGGATCATCAAAGATTTTGATTTTTTTTTTTTTTAAATAACCTAACTCTGACTTGTATTTCTCAACAACATTGTCCCTTACTTATTTGGAGAGTTCCTTGGTCTTCATGGCAGTGTTTGGTTAGTGGTTCCTCTTGCTTAGGTGTTGCAACCTCTGGGGCCTTTCAAAAAAGGTATGTATATATAATGACAGATCATGTGACACTTGGATTGCACACAGGTGGACATCATTTCACTAATTATGTGACTTCTGAAGGTAATTTTTTATGGACTTCATGACAAAGGGGGTGAATACATACGCACATGCCAATTTTCTGTTTTCTATTTCTAAAAAGTAGTTTTATGTATATATTTTTCTCATTTCACTTCATCAACTTAGACTATTGTGTTCTGATCCATCACATAAAATTCAGATTATTAAAACATTGAACTTAAGGCTGTAATGTAACAAAATAGGTAAAAAGTCAAGGGGTTGAATACTTTTGTGAGGCACTGTACATTGTGTGTGGGCCCATGATCGTGAAGTGAGTGAGTCCGCCATCTTGTATGCCTTTACAGTGCTGCGATAACTGCTTGCAGGTGGGCTAGGCGGGGGGGGGGGGGCAGGGGGGACCGGGATTACACCTCTGGTCCAAGGGGGAAGTGGGGAACAGCTAGAGATGGGGATCGCACCGCCAGCCAAGGAACTGAGAGAGCGTCCGTCTCCCCACGGTTCAGACTCGTGTAGGCCACAGGCCTCGATTTGGATAATCCGCGTCGGAGAGGCTCAGAAAGGGTATTCCCAGATGCAGCTTTATCCCTGTGACAAGAGGAGTGTTGACCGCGGACAGTAAAAACAAGTGGCCCGGGAATAATCCCCGTTATTCAGGATCAGACACAGAAGCTCTAGTTGAGCATGTCTGGTCTACATGGCAGTCGGGCTCCGCCTCGCAGTATTTATTTTTTAATTGTATCTTTATACCTTCTTGAAGATCACATTTTAAAACTCTGAAATTACCTCTTAGGACTGCAGACAAAACATTGTGACCTTGTATATAACTGTGCCTTTTTTTGTCACTCATGCAAAAGACAAGTATGGCATATATTACGGCCTTATGTCACTTCTGATACAGACTGGAAGCATCAAACAACAAGTTAAATATGGGATATGCCTCTGTAAAAGGAAAGCTCTTGTTTTTCGATTAATGCTTCCCTTCTCCCCAGTAAATTACTCATTGGGGTGTAGAGAAAGTTCAAAATACACTTGTTTTCCCTGCATTTAGTGATATATTTTACACTAAAAATAAGTGACCATAAAATCTAAAAACTGTGCTCTCACTAATATTTCTTATTGAATGCTACCCACACCTGTAGGGGCTGTCCAAGGGAAAAATCCACTTTAAAAATTATTTAGCACTCTAATATAACTCACTTGCAGTTTTTATGCAGCTGGATAACAAATCCCATTATTTTCACAAATGTGTTTTATAAAGAAACATAAATTCATTTTACCTAATTATCACCTTGTTCCTTTGGGAAGTCCTGGCAGCTTTGACTTGCATCAAAACCAAATTCTATTCCGTTATGGTTCCTTCAAGGCTCCAAATTGCCCTAGACCATGCTCTGTTCTAATATCCTAAACATTAACATGTATGAAACTCTGCATTGCTCATAACCAACTAATGTTACAAACTAAGTTGTGCTCAAAAGTTTGCATACCCTGGCAAAAATTTTGAAATTTTGGCATTGATTTTGAAAATATACCTGATCCTGCAAAAAAAATATTTTATTGTAGGATAATGATCATATGAAGCCATTTATTATCAGTGGGGTGGGGGGGAGGGGGGGGGGTTGAGCTCTAAAGGCACTGGGAATCTTGTGAAAATTGATGTCAAGATGAATGCAACATGTTATCGGAAAATACTGGTAGACAATTGGCATTTGTCTGCATGAAGGCTGCGCATGGGACGCTCTTGGACTTTCCAGCATGACCATGACTAAGCACAAGGCCAAGTTGACCCTCCAGTGATTACAGTAGAAAAAGGTGAAGGTTCTGGAGTTGCCCTCACAGTCTCTTGACCTAATATCGAGCCGCTCTGGGGAGATCTCAAACGTGTGGTTCATGCAAGACTAATGGGTAGCTATACCACCTGCAAGAATTAAAGTCCTCATAGACAGCTATTACAAAAGACCGCACGCTGTCATTGATTCTAAAGGGGGCAATACACAGTATCAAGAACTAAGGGTATGCAGACTTTTGAACAAGGGGCGTTTTTTTTTGTTTTGTTTTATGATTGTGCCATTCTGGTATAACCTACACTTGAATATGAATCCCATAAGAAATAAAATAAGTGTTTTGCCTGCTCACTTAAAAGTGGTACATTTATTACCAATTCTCCAAGGGTATACAAACATTTGAGCACAACTGTATGCTGTGTTGCTCTAAAACCACCCTTTTAATACCTTGTGAGCTTCTTGCTAAGGCACATGAACGCCTGTAGTTTCTGTAGACCCTCTCAAATTAGACTGTTTCAGTAGAACTATAGAACTTGCCTTCTCACATGTTAACCCTTCAATATCCCAGTTCTACTATTTAATTCTATAACCATCATAATCAGCAGGTGGTCTCCCCCTAGAAAAAAATCAGATGCAATCGTACGTGCTTAGGCATCTACTTCCAAAGTGCCATGTGATTGCGTTTACACTCCAGCAGTCCTTCATTGCTACTGTACTTCTATATTCACCTAACTACAACCACATGTATGGCATCTTGGAGGTCAAGGTCATTTTTTTGTATCGCATGCCATCCAGCAATTTGTATCACAACCTACTGCAATGAATACACTGCTGTATCTTGTGGGACTAGAGTACAGGTACAGTATTACAGGGCCTAAAATTTGACATAATTTGCCACTAGCCAAACATTGTTACTCGCCACTGTAAGCCATAGTGTACTCCCCAGGACTCCATTACTTTCCAGGGCTACATTATCACTTGTCAATAGCTAGTGACGAGTGGAAATTTTGAGCCCTGCAGTATTATAGACTGTAATCTGATAATGTTTCTATTTGTTACATTGTGTATTTTCCGTATGAAGTGCAACTCTGATTCAATGTGTATGCGTGTATGTTTTTTTTCTTTTTTTTTTTTTTTAAGTACAAATCTAAAGTTGTGGATATGTGCCTTGTAAAGGAATACCTTTTACAATTAAAGGGAAACTGTGACTACCCATAATTTTTTATAATATGCTTACTTATACCTGTATTTAATAAATATGTATTTACGAGGTGTGAAAAATAAAATGATCCAGATTTATTTATCTTGCAACTGGGTGCATTCATCTTAGCTCCCTATCAATCATTGTTATACGTTTTTTGTCTTTTGCACCTAGAAGAGGAGAAATGAAACACTATTTCAATTTTTCCTCTTTATTAGCAATGCTTGCACTGACTTTTCCTTGTCCGAATTGGATTGTGATATAATTGTGTATTTTTTTTATCCCCTTAAGGACACATGACATGTGTAACATGTCATGATTCCTTTTTATTCCAGAAGTTTGGTCCTTAAGGGGTTAATATAAAATGAAAAGAAAATAGGGGCTCTTGAGATAAAAGGTTAACACAAGGTATAGGTGATTCAATGCTCTTTAGAAAGGTGCAAATGCCATGGAAATAACAGTTCCCCTTTAAATTAGATTATGTAAAGCCACACATAGATAATATTGCTATGATATTAAAAATACAATTTTTAATGACTATCCTTTAATTGATGGTGGGGTAGGACACGTGGAGTCACTGACAAGCTGTCTGGCCCCAGTCACTTTTGTCGCTGATGTCTCTCTGTAAAGGTTAATACACTTCCTGCATTGTGAGGAATGTGTCCTGATTGCTTGGCTTTCCTTCAGGGTCCGAATGCCTAAAGGTGAGATCCTTAGGAAGTTCCCCTTGGGAGTCTGACTGTATCATATGGAATGTTTGGGGGTTGCTTCTGGTCATGGTGAATCCACCCGGACTTAAAAGCTGTGATTGCTGACTTGGTTAGAGTTGTGCCCTTATCCAAAATGCTCTCAGCCAAGTCATTCTGAACACTCGCTAATAATGTACCTAACTTCTCTTTTGCCCTCCATTGTGAAGGAGGCTGCTTGTTCTCTGCGTAGATATCAGCATGACCATGCATCAGAATTGGCATCCAGTTCTGACTTTGAGTTCCCTCCCGCCCTTCAAGGACCACTAGAGGAGGATGTGTCATGCATTTTTGATTGAGCACATCTAAGGTGCTGGATCAATTTTGTAAACCGGTACCCAAGCATTTTCCTGTCAATAACGTTCTTATGGTCTAAAAGTTGCAAGACAAACCAGGAACTCCCGTGATTCACTTAATGCTGCTGTAATGGATGTTCCCAAGCTCCCAAGTGAGCGGAAGCTCAGAATGTGACATTGTCAGTGATTCTCATATCTGTCTGTGATTATTGGGGAGCAGAATACCTTAGTCATCAGGCCTTTCGAACAGGGAAATGGAGTCTCCATCCAGAGATGTTCTCCCATCTTGTTCAAAATAAACCTAATGGCCTTTTGTTTGCTCAGCTCCTGGTGCATTGCTCTAGAGCAGGCTTCTCCAAACTACGGCCCTCCAGATGTTGCTGAACTGCAACTCCCATGATTCTCAGCCTATCTATTTCATTCATAGAATCATGGGAGTTCTAGTTCAGCAACATCTGGAGGGCTGGAGTTTGGGGAAGCCTGCTCTCGAGACAGGGTGTATAGTTTTGATATTTAAAAAAAAAAAATGTTGATACTGCTTTTAGCAGGAGGCTGTCCCCATTGTCCCACATGTTTTTAGATGGTCTGGTGTCCTGGTTTGCTTTAATGCAAGAACCAGTATGTCACAACTTGTGGGTCTCCCCATCCAAGGAAGGAAAACAAAATGTATGTCTTACCTGACAACTTAATTTTCTTAGAGTCCGTAAAATCCCACACATTGCATCTCTTCATTGGATAGGTATTTCAGCTGCCATTCTGTTGTTGTTTTGTTCCTGCTTTCCCCCCTTCTCTGATTTGATCTACATAGAGAGGAGGAGCTAAAGAGGAATTAGCATTCTGAAGCATTGCATTATGGGTGTTTCAACCTTCTCTGTTCCTGCTTTTCCCCCTCCTCTGACTAGCTATACATAGAGAGGGGGAGCTAAAGCGGGATTAGCATATTGAAGCATTGAATTATGGGTGTTTGAACCGCCTGGTTAGGGGGTTTTATCTTGTATGAGCTGGTGGGCTCTCACCTGGAAGGAAATTAATTTGTCAGCTAAATCCGCATTTTAATTTCTGTCTGCATCCAGCAACAACATGTTTAGGTGGCTGTTTCTTTAAAAAACACGGCTGCAACATATAGCACAACTACTACCACTTGTTTTATTTTTATTTTTTTTACCTTTTCTATGCTTCCTTTGCATCCACCTTGATTGCACAGCTCCTTGCAACGCTTGCTTTTATGTCTATACAATGCTAAAGATGTGACTTGTGTGTCTGACATGCAGGCTTATTCTTTTCTCCATGACTCTACATCTACATGAAAAAAGTCATTCAGGAACACTGTGAATTAATAATCAGTGACTAAAAATGTGTTACTCTTTCACAAAAGCTTCTAAACTCAAGTGCCCTCTCTTGGAACATACAAAATATATCTATATTAAACTAGAATTATTTTGTTTTCAGTAAACTGCATAATGCTATATTATAGACCAATATAGCCAAACTTGGAAAAGTTTTCCAGTCTGGCTATTTTGATCAAAAATATTTAATTCATTTTGAATTATTATTATTATTTTTAAATACTTTATTTGTGATAGTCTTGTCAAAAATATAACATACAGAGCAGGTGGTGCGAAAACACAATTAAGCATGCACTAACGTGTGTACATACAGTTTACGGTTATCAAGAACTAAAATGCCTGGATACGGTTATTATCAAGATTCCTTACATTTCACAACATATAGTTTTATATATAAACCATACACAAGCTGATCTTATGGTGTGATACCACTTACATAGTTGTATGTTGCTGACTGTTTCTCTGGAGGGGAGTTAAACTTCCTTTCCATTTTCCATGGACTCCCTGTCCAGATCCTATCGTATGCGAATTGTCCCATCCAGGGAGTAGCGAGAAGAAAGTCAGAGAGAACAGAAAAGAAAGTACAGGAGAAAAAAGGAGAGTCCGGGTCAGCAGGGTTAGGCCTCTTCAGGCCATCCACTGTGAGTACCTAAGCTTTTGGGTTTACCTCACTGGGTGTTACCTTGGTGAGGACCCCAGGGCGGTCTGTTGGATCTCAGTTGGTCATCAATTTAAACCCCAGTGACCTATCCGGCCTCCTCAGTCTACCAGGTCACTGCTGCTCCATGGTTCCCAGCATTTTTCTATTTTTTTTCCTGGACCCTAGCTGTCAGGTTGTTGTCAGGTTGTGAAATGTATCTTTCACGTTATTGAGTACGGCCTGTATCGGGGGTATGTCTGGCTTGAGCCATGACTGAGATATTGTGACCTTGTGGATCAATTTTTGTTCCCATTTAGTCCAGCCCTCTATAGGCCTGTTCAGCAGGTATGTCCACGAGTCCATGTTTTGTGCTTTGTGGAAGACCCGAGGCAATATATCTCGTATCCCCCCCAGAACATCTGTACCCGGGCGCATCCCCACCACATGTGGAGATACGTGCCTCTGAGACTGCATCCCCTCCAGCATACATCGGTTGGCGTCTTTTTCATCTAATGTAACTTTACAGGAGTGGTATACCACCATAACATTGTTTTGAAAGATTGTTCCTGGAAAGATACCCAAATGGATACGGAGTTGTTTGCCTCCCATATTTCTTGCCACTCCACACCCACCAACTCCTCCCCCAGATCTTTTTCCCACTGTTCAGTGTAGGTCAAAGATCCCCATTAGTTTGTTTTGGAGCATATGTGAGCGTATAGTTTAATAGTTTAATGATAAGGCCTGGCTGCATGGTTTCGTTCAGACACATCTTCTCAAAGAAAGACAATGATCCCGTTGCTGCCTTTTGTATGTGTGGGTGTTTCACGTAATCTTTGAGTTGTAGATACCTAAGAAGTCTGAAGGTGTGAGGTGTCAAATGGTACTACCGATCCGTTCTCGAACATATCGAAGATTCTCTGCAGTCTTGCTCGCTCTAAGCTTTTAAAATCCCTAGTTATTAGTCCTGGGGGGAACGGTCTGTTTCTCAACAGTGGGGTTAGTGGTGATGGGGATGACATTAACTTGTAGTTTTGTGCGGAAGCATCCCATACTCACAGTGAATTTAGGATTGCCTGGCAGGTTGTTTGTGGAATATTCACATTGCTACCTGGGAAAGTTGTGCCACTAGATTATAGAAGTAGGTGTGGCATACCCAAGCCTCCTCTCTGATATTCCATCTGTTCACTTTTTATTCCTCTTTCATATATGCTTTCTCTTTTTTTCTCCTGTGATTGTAACCATTGTTACAGTCGCATATTAAAACACATAATTAATACTAGGAAAAAACACAGAATTCAGCAGAATGGTGCAAACAGGTCACAGAAAACACACCCCTCTGACAGTGGCCGACAAATTGGCCAGAAATAAAATAAACACTTTGTATTGTGTTTTGAATTTTTTTTTTTTTTATATGTATTGGAAGCAACCAATTTGTAACCCAAAAAAAGGACCACAATGTAACTAGAAAATAAAATGACAGAAGCGGCACTGTAAGGAATAGTTTGATCCTTTAACAAATAGCCACAAATAAGGAAACCTCTGAATAACCATCTAATAATTTAACACAATAGTTTTATACATAACAAAGCCTATGACTATGTTTATGAAGATAATAGCATTCCAGAAAGTTGTGCATGCATATCTTTTCAAACCATACTGCTAGAACAATACTAACAAAATGCAAATTAAAAAAAACAAAAAACAAAAAAAAAACACTTGCCTGAATACAGAAGCTCTAACAGCTTTTAAACCGATGTACGGATTACAATGTGCAAGAACCAATTCCCAGCTGTTGATCCATCTCACCCTTTTGGAGCTCATCGGAATGACACTGGCTTCGATTCAATGGTGGAAATCTCTTAGGCATCAAACAAAATATTCTTAAATTTATGGTACAATAAATAATTGACACATTCTACTCCGATTAACCTAAATGATGGACTATATTGTTGTGCAGCATCTACATCTCCCAGGGTAAACGGATGTCAAGGATTTTTTACTGGGATTTTTTACCATGTTAGACGCTTTGTGGCACTTTATTTGCGTTCTTATTGGTCCATCTCCAATTTAAAAGCTGTTGCCTAAAATGCAGTAATAAAAAAAGGTAATGACAAATGTGGACTATCCCTTAAATGTCTGGCTAAAGGCAAGGAGAGTTACATATAGCTACATGGATAAATGATAGATAAATACAAGCACACAAACTATTAGATATTGAAAACATATAATCATTAATAAAATAATTTGGGTTTTCAGTTTGCATGAGAATTTAACACACTAAGTAATATGAGTTTTATGAAAATAAAATAAATAAATAAATTGGGTGCATTTTTTTTGTTCCAAGACAAAACAACATATTACATTAATTTCCGTGTATGTTTAATAGCTGATTTATGTAGCATATAGGCAGTGCTAATTCTGTGTGTTGCGTGAATTTAGAGTTTTTAATGTGACACTAGACTTCTAATGCCCTTTAGCTTGCTGAACTGCTTTATGTGTGAAGGATGTTTATTTTTTTATTTGATTTTTTTTTAATTTAGATTTCAATTGAAATTGACATTTTTATAATTAAGGCTTAAGTCCTCTTACTTCCTGATGGTGGAGCTAAACTAAAGGTCTCAGAGCACTTGCCTTGCAAAGACTTCTCATTGAGCTGCATTGCAAAATCTGATTGGACAGCGACAGAAAGTCTGGGCGAAGTTAGAAGGGGAGAAATTGGAAAGGCTGCAGACACGATAACTGCAGCGTTTGCAAGCTGTTCTTAGATATAACCACAATAAAAAAATTAAAAAAAGAATAATTAAATACATGTATGATTTCACTGGAGTAATATCTACTAAACAATGTTTTTTATTTATAGTATGTGAACAGTGGTGCATCCTTTAAAATGGCATGAATTCTCCTGTAGGAGAACAGCTGTGTACAGTACGTAGATTTGTGAGTTTAAAGGGTCTTGTAGGGGTTTCTGCAACCCCAGCAGATAAAACTCAACACACAGAGTATTATATATGTCACTCACCTTTTTTAGGTATACTGCCAAGGGTCCATAGTAAAGGTTCCTCAACGGAAGAAAGTGTATATAGAAATCCACTCCAGATGCAGTATGTGTTTTGTTTGCCCATTTTGGACCTGCCATGAATGGTTTTCTGCATACACGTTCTCATCTGCAGAGGTCACCAAAACACCTCAGCATGTTTATTTACAAGGAAAGAACTACCACATTTTGGTCAAACAAGCAATCAGATTGGCTCAAATCTAAACAATTCACATCATTCAAACTTCATGTATTGGTCCAGAGATCTCACTACCAAAGAGGACCACAATATCTACATCAAGGCTCTAAATGTCAAGACCTCTGCTACTAACCTGGCTTAAACCTTACTAATCACCACAAGCCTGAGAGTACGTGGCAGGTGGCACACTCAACTGTGGTGGGTTTTAATTCACCAGTGGCCACTGGGCAAGTGTGCTAGTACTAATCATTCTAGATCCCCAACACTAAATGCATTTGAAACTGTATGTGAAACAATTAAATAAGGTGTTATGATGGAGTAAATCCAGGGTGCATGGTGGAGTTCTGGAACCCCCAACATCAGAGGAACAGAGAATCCCCACTTTATAAGGAATTGAAAAAGATATGGCCTTTTAATTTGGTCTTCTCCCACCACTTACTTTTTCATTTCAGTCCTTTAATCCTTTCTTCCTTCTCCTATTCTACTTTTATATCCGTTTTTTCAGAGGTTACAAACACAAAAGTAGAGATTAGATAGATTTTTCTGTTACCTCTTATACCTTTGTCCTGGTTTCCATTATTTTAGCACTCTCTGCCTAGATTATGTGATAAGGCTTACTATATCCAGCAAGCAGGACTAATCTGCTTTTCCAAGTTAATACTTTCTTGTCTGATTGTGTTATTGATTTTTGCATTAGGCATTCGGAGTGTTTAAGATTGTATGTCTCCACAATAATTTCTGTAGCAGAAGGTTACATTGAAACTATCAAGATATCTGCTGTATAAAACATTAGCATTTTTAAAATCAAATATTAACTTTATATTCCTACCATTATGACTCTGTTGTTTTTATTACTTTTGGTTTTACTACATCCTCCGCTTCATTTTGGCAGCCATAGCTTTTATTGTAGTATATAAATTAAATGTGTCCTCAAATCTACCTGATGTTCAAAACCAGTCTGCAGCCCTTCATATTAAAAAAGTTGGGCAACCCACCGATGTTTTAATTCCCACCATATTACAGATTATCTCTAACCACTGCTGCTAAAGCATTATTACATTATTACCAACCAGCTAAACACATCCTTGAAATGAGCTAAGCTATGGAAAGCAACTTACAGGGACACTCCTCTACCCAAAACAAACACTGTTTATTAGATACACCCTAAATAAAAATATACATATATTTAATAATGCATTTTCTTTCATTGTGGTTATTTTTAAAGACAACTTGCAAAAGCTGCAGATCTCTTGTCTGCAGTCATTGCAAGCCCTCCCCTTAACTCCAATGATTTTGGTAGAGCTGGGTAGTTACTGGGTAACACATGGTGTCTAAAAACAATTTATTTTCTGCTATACTAATCATATGGGCAATATATGTACCTGAAGACCATATTTTCACATGTATGTATTTTAATATGTGGATAATGATTAAGGACTCCGTTAATACACCGCTTGTGACCACACTAAGATCTACAGGCAAAGGAATGCATTATTGAAACCAGTAAATATCATTGTACATGACACTCTATTAATATTTAACTAAAGCATCTCAGACGCCAACCATTCTCACATGTCCTAATATACTTAAAAGCAGATTGGAGGCTTGTTTTAACAAGTTTGATTTTAATCTTGTCCATGTAATCGTGTTTTAATCTGTATTTTTCAAGGACCGGTTGTTAAAGATCTAGTTATAGACAATATTGTAAACGCTATGGAATCTGTTGGCGCTATATAAATAGGCAATAATAATAATCGAACACATTGCTGATCCTCGTCAGATTAAGAACAGTAAAGTCAGTACCATACCATGTCATGATCACCTATGCTTACTTTGAGAATACATTTATTCCTTATAGGGATCTCAAAATATGCCCCCCACATTTTGACAGCCTACAACTCCCAGAATGGGAGTTGTGGTTCAGCAACATCTGGAGGACCAGTTGTAAGATTATTAAGCTAATGGTAGTGGATTTGTTACCTCAAAAGCCCTTTACATGATGATGTGAATGGAGCCATTAGCCCATTCACACTGACCCTCTCTAACACTTGCCAATATTGACCAGTATTCTATAAGGGCATGTGGTATCGTAGGGTAGTGTTGCTTTAATAAAGTCAATATTTTAATGCAGAAGTGTTCAAAGATAAATCCATACTTATTTTAAAAGCTATAAAATGTGTAGCTAATAAAGGAAGAGGTCAAGTACATGATAGAACGTATATTTTTAATTCATTATAAGCAGATTATATATGGTTCTAAAATATATTAAACAAACATTTAACAGTGAACTTGTTATTATTAAAACATTTATAAAAAATGTTATGGTTGACAAAAATCACAGCAGTATAATGCAACAAAACACTTCACAGAGATAGTCAGATATATAAAAAGAACCCAAGTTATCAGCAAAGCTAAATAACAAGCAAAAAAAATATCTTAATAGATAAAAGAAAAGCTTATTCCCTAAATTATTAGTTTAATTCACTAAACAGTGATTAACATTGACTCTAATGATGAAATGATGATTAGCCAAGTTAGGGAATATATTGTTCAACTAGTTTGTTTTGACCTATATTTTCCAAAACGGCTTCAACTTTCCACAACATCGTGAAGTGTATAACCTTCTACATGAAGGTTGTATTCTGTTAGCCTTACATATTGCTTTCTTGACTGTTTTTATTTGAAACACAATGATTGTTCCTACCATTCTGAACAAGACCAGAACAAACTAACCATGAGTAATGAAGGACTCAAAGAATACAGAAAACAGACATAAAAACAAGCACCCATCCCTGGTTCAATAATTTTACATTATTATTAATATATATACACTTCGCTTGAGTATTCACCCCATCTCCGTTGGACAATTCCACATTTTGGTATGTTATTACCAGGAATTAACTGTATTTTGTTTGGGTTTTAATTATTTGATTACACAAAATACATAAGAATAAAATACAGTTGTAATCAAAATTATTCAAACCCTATGGAAAATCTGATTTAGAAATGATTTATTAACATATTTTGTACACTTTTTATTGCCCATATATATGACACCTCATCTCTGGCACTACACCAACATTTTTGTTCTACATTAAAAAGCGCAGCTAATTTCTAGCCTGGAGCAACCTTATAAATACTAGCCTGATGTCACTCGAGTTCCACTGATATAGTATTCACTCCTATAGTATCCACTCCTATAGTGTTTCCGACATAACAAACTTCTTAGGGGTAACTGTGAAGATAAAGAATAATACCCTCTCTCCCTTCCTAAATGTGGCTGTATCCTCTTTCGATAAGATACCAAATATTGGCAAATACTTCTCATGTAAGACTCAACTCAAAGTTTAGGCTACTTTGTTCTTTAAACCACTATAGAATGTCCTATATTCTAACATGTCACACCTATACAAGAGGCACCTGCTTAACCTATGAAGTATTACTCTAGATTTCATTTTTTCACAATTAACATGTATAGCTTGGAGGAAAGATGAGACAGGGGGGATATGATAGAAACATTTAAATACATAAAGGGAATCAACACAGTAAAGGAGGAGACTATATTTAAATGAAGAAAAACTACCACAACAAGAGGACATAGTCTTAAATTAGAGGGGCAAAGGTTTATAAATAATGTCAGGAAGTATTACTTTACTGAGAGGGTAGTGGATGCATGGAATAGCCTTCCAGCTGAAGTGGTACAGGTTAACACAGCATAGGACTTTATGCATGCTTGGGCAGTGGGGTACCTAGAGCATTTGGCACACGGGGCGGACCCTATGTTTGGCACCCCTCTCATACTTCCCCCCATAAAAATTTAAGAAAACACCCACAATTTTTTTTTCAATGTTTTCAAAAATATTTATGGCAAAAATTTGTAAACTGTATCTAAACTTGAAAAAACTGAAACTATGAAAACTAAATTAACTTAGAAATAAATTAAATTTAAATAATTGACATTTACTGCAGCTAATACGACTTTCTATAAACAAAAAAACACAGATCCAAAGTGACCACTCAGTCTATTCGGCAGAGGTAATTTGAAAGCATTCACATCCTCTGCCTTTGAGCCTTCATTTCTGCAAATTGATTGATTACTTCATCGAAGCTTATCTTATTTTCATATTCGTGCTCAACTGAAAGTATGGCCAGATGTGTCAACCTTGTCTCACTCATGGTTGAGCGAAATACATTTTTTATCAATTTTAATTTGGAAAAACGTCTTTCACATGAAGAAATAGACAACAGAGAGTCAAAAAGAATCTTAAACACAGTGACAAATTTTGCAGAGATTCACAATAATCCCATTTAACAATGAAATCCAGGAACTGCAATACTGTCCATTTCTTTGCTTCTTCAACACTGATCTTGGCAGCTTCCAAATGCCTCCAAAGACGTTCAATTTCCATAAAGATGTCTTCATTAGAGAATTTGTCAAAAATCTCAAGTCAATTTTGGAGTATAGTTACGAATATCTTTCTCTGTTGTCACAATCAGAGTGTTTGGCTGAATAACAGCAAACATTGAAAGAATTTTTTTCAATTGCCTTAGAATGAATTTTCCACCCGTGATGAAAACGATCAAGGCACTCAAGCATAGCCCTTTTCAGTTCCTCTGGCAATGTGAGACCAGCGTCCTTTGCCTTCTCTCCTGGCATTGTTTTCCGGAGCTTTACTCTCCCTCTTCGTTCCATAGAAATGTCCATTTCTTCACACATAGTAGTTGCATAACAAATGGCCTTCTCCACAATTTCACTGCACTGATCTGCAAGAAACGCTCTCAGATCTTGTAGATTCACAATGCACTTTTCAAGAATGAGTCCCACTGGTTACAAATACGTCTGTGTGATATTAACATCTTCTAGAACTTCACACCAGAAAAAAGGTAACACAAAAAAGAAAAATCACATATGGCAGACAGCAACATCTGAGCCGATCCTCTTGTGTCCACATTTTCTTTGAGACTACACAGTTTTGAAAGGGCTGAAGTCAGTTTTTCAAAATTTCCCATCACGGGCTTCACAGCATCATAATGAGCGCTCCATCTTGTTTGGGAAAGTCTTTTCACTGTCACACCTAAATTCTCCATCAGCAATTCCCAACGATGTGTAGAAACCGAAAAAAAGGAATAAACTCTCTCCAATGTTCCAAAAAAGGTCACACAGGAAGCAACACTTCCAAATGAGTGCACCCAACAGAGGTTCAAAGAATAGTTTGCACATGGCATAAACAAAGCCTTGGGATTAATCTCTTTTATTTTTGCCTGAACACCACCATGAATCCCTGCCATAGTTGCAGCATTATCATATCCTTGACCACGGCAAAGGATCTTCCTCCAGATGTTGCAGGATATTTTCTGTGAGCTCAGCAGCAGTCTTTTCAGCAATATGCAATAAGCCCAAGAATGATTCCTTTACTTCAACATTGTCACCTTCAATATGAACATATCTGATCACTTCACACATCTGATCAGTGTGGGACACATCAGGGGTGCTGTCAAAAAGAATCCCAAAGTACTTTGCTTTCTTGATATCAGCCACTATTTTGTCCTTCACATGAGTTCCCAAAAGACAAATTAATTCGTTCTGAATTTTTGGAGAGAAATAGGAAGTCATTCTCTTTCCAGATGCAACAGCATGTTTCAGCCTCATGAAATGTTCCTTTAAAATGGGATCATAGTTTGAGAGCAATTCTACCAATTCGAGGAAGTTGCCTTGTTTGCGGATGACATGGTCTCTCTATGACCACGAAAGGGAAGATTCTGGTGAGCCAGAAACAAAGTTACATCCAAAAGGCGATGCAAAATATCCTTCCATTTCCGTTTCTCTCTGTCCACTGTTGTTTGATGGACATGATCAAGGCATTTTTGTAGCTTCAATCCTGCTCTCAAGGTCTTCCATTTCTCCAAGCATGTAAGATGCTGCTCAGATGCCTCATGATCAGACACCTTTGGGTTCAGCTTCCACCACAATTGAAACCCAGTAACAAAACTGGATGCCCCTGTTTCTTTGTCATCAACAGCAAAAAGTCTGCAGCAAAAACAAAACAAATGTTGTTTTGAAGGAAAGTAAACCATCCATGTTCTAAGAATTTTTTCGCCATTAGGCAGAGCCTTATAGAACCATACAGTGGTCAGCTGTCGACTCTACCCTTTTGATTTCTCTCCTTGCCTTTCAACAGGACTGAATGGCTCATCTCTATTTTGGAAAGGTTCACTTCCCCTCTTAATAAGGTCCACTCTTAAAACATCTGCAACTGGCCAAGCAGCAACATCAGAATAAACTGACAGTCGAACAGTCTCCTCTTCTTCTTCATCATCATCAGAGTCTTGCTGATGCAGGCTTCTGCTGGCATCTCCTTCGTCTACATCACTTTCACCGCTTGAAGATAAAATGATCTTCTCCAATTCTTGCACTTTCACATATGAAGCTTCTTGAGAAGATACTTCAGGCATTTCACCTCTGGATTCACCAGACTGAACGTCTTCAGCACTTTCTCCTACTGCGGTAGATGTTGAAGGTGCAACATATTTTAAAATTGATTCAGACATCGCCTCAGCTGACTTTTCTCTTGCCTTCTTACTTTTTTGGCGGAGACCCGCTTGGTCGATTTCGCTTCATATTGGTTTTTTTCTGCAAAAAATCTAAATGTATTTTGGTTCTAGAGTTCGTTAGTGTGATATCTGTCTTATATTTCCCATCTTGGCATACCATTTATTAAAGTAGACAACCCAGGGTATTTAAAATTGGGTATGTCCAGTATTTTTTAGTAGTCACAAAGCGTGGGCAAAGTTATTGTTTACATTTATTTATTTTTGCATTTTGAATTCTCACAAACACTGCAATTTCACTGATATCAAAATTAAATAGTTTCTGTTCTCGTATTTTTGTTCAGCAATGTCCCACGAGTACAGCAGTATAATACATAAATAATAGACATATATATCATATTTATTTATTATTTAGTTCTAATTAGGTTTTACATTTCATTATTATTTTAAGAGTTGAGGGCCTGCCTGAAAACCCAGGCGGGTTCCCCTGCAGGCAGTGATCTAAACTGCTGATTTGGATTTAGGCCGGCTCTGCTGATGGGCCTGGGGGACAGTCCCCCCGATAGGATCCTTGCAGAAGTTAAGTATCTGGGCTCCCTACAGGACTTGGTCCTTAGTGCGTACTATGCCACCCTAACGTAGTTAAAGATCTAATTTTGCAGGGCAGCACAGTACGCCATAAAGGCGTTGAGGGGCTAAACACATTTCTAGGAACTGTATTGCTATAAAATGTAATACATTTATAAATACCAAACATCTTGAAAAAAGAGAAACAGCATAGGAAAGATGGAGCGGCTAGGGCAGAGGTTTTGTAGAAGGGGGCCAAGGCAGGGGTTTTGTAGAAAGGGGCTGGTGAAAAACTTCTAGAAAACTCCTTCCCTGACCCTTTCAACAAAGCCTCTGGTCTCCCCCCCTTCTAGAAAACCCCTGCCCTTCCCCCTTATACAAAATCCCTGCACCCCTCTTCCATAAACCTCCTGCACCCCTCCTACCCATAAAAATCCTGCACCCCCACACATAAAAACCCAGCACCCACCCATCGTATCAAATTCATACCCCCTTCATATAAAAACCCTGCACCCAATCACATAAAGTTCATACACTCCCTACAAATAAAAACCCTGCACCCTCTTCACAAAGTTCATACAGCCCCTACACATGAAAAATCTGCACCCTCCCTCCCCCCCCTACACATCAAATGTGGTAAATGTATCATTTGTTACCCAGTCATCCTTAGCCTTACATTAATATTTTCAATCACTTTGCATTTCATCTATCTTCCAAATTCCAAGTTCATTAAGCACATGACACGTTTGGACTATAACACAATTCTCTCAGACATCAAGAAAACTGATGCTATAAAGCTTTCATGTCTTCTTTCTTTCCCTGAGACCCTATCCTTTATTACTTCATCAATTGGCCTTAACTTCAGACATGTCTGAGCTCTGTCAAGACTAGGCTGCCTTTATTCTTTCTTTCTTTTTTGTTAAATACAAATTAGACTAAATTATTAAAAATATAGAAAATAACTATAATGTAGCAATGCAGTCACAGAAACATGCTTGGGATCATATTTAACAGTATTATCAGGGGCACTGTGTAAATCATTTTAATACTAAATTCTGTAGCTGGATTGTTTGTGCCTAGTCATGTTTTTATATTAATACTCAATGCTGTGCATTTTGTATTTATTTTTTTAAACCCTGCACACTCCCCTTAATTAAAAGAATACTGCACACCGCCCTTAATAAAAAAAATCCCTGCCCACCCCCTTTATAAAAAAAACCCTGCACACTCCCCCTTAATTAAAAGAACACCGCACACCCCCCTTAATGAAAAAAACCTGGCACACCCCCCTTAATAAAAAAAAACCTGCACACCCCCTTAATAAAAAAAACTCTGCACACCCCTTAATAAAAAAGCCCTGCACACCCCACTTAATAAAAAAAAACACCTGCACATCCCCCTTTATAAAAAAAGCCCTGCACACCCCACTTAATAAAAAAAAACCTGCACACCCCTTTAATAAAATCAAAAACCTGCACACCCCCCTTAATAAAATAAAAACATGTACACCCCCGTTAATGAAATAAAAACATGCACACCCCCCTTAATGAAAAAAAATGCGGCACACCCCCTTAATAAAAAAAAATACAACCCTGCACACCCCCCTTAATAAAAAACCCTGCAGTGCACCCCCCCCTTAATATATATAAAAAAAACCTGCACAGACCCCCTTAATTAAAAAAAAACCTGTACACCCCTTAATTAAAAAAAAACCCCTGCACACCCCCCCCAATTAATCCCACACAAAATTATCTACTCACATTTAATGATGCCTCGCCCTCTGCACTGACCTGCTCTGCTCCGAGCCTCCGACCACTGGTGCCTCATGGATGATGAATCCTTCCGCTCCTCCTGGAGGTCCGTGAAGGTAGACAGGAGGTGCTGCTCACGTCGGCGCCACGTCTGCGTTACGTTGCGCGACGCTGCAACACTCCTACCTCTGCTCCGAGTCATCCAGATTACTGCAGTCAGTCAGTGCAGTGTAGTGCACCCGGGCCAGCCACAGATGCAGCCGCAAATGCACTGCGGTGCGCACTGTGACAATTGATGGGGGGGTGACTCATGACACTGGCAGTCATGGCACCCCACTAATGAGTGGCACCCGGGGTGTTTTTCATCCCAAATGGCATTACCTTAAATTGGTATAAGCCGAATGGGGTGACGATCGCCGACTTGGGGATGGCGTCCGGGGCTAGGGGGATCTGCCAATACCCCTTACACAGATCAATGGTAGTGAGGTATTGGCCCCTAGCCATCCGGTCTAGCAGTTCATCTACTCGGGGCATGGGATAGGCATCCGATACTGTTTGTACCATCCCGTTTAGGTACGAGGACTACCGGGGAGGCCCAGGGGCTGTCCGAGGGTTCAATCACCCCCTATTGGAGCATCTCCTGGATCTCCTTGTGCATATTCTCCCGGACTGCCTCGGGTATGCGGTAGGGAGTTTGGCGCAGTGGGGGCTGACCTGTGGTCTCTACGTGGTGAGTGGCCAGAGGAGTGTAGCCAGGTATATTGGAGAAGGTGTCCTGCTTCTCCCTCAGCAACTGCAGTATCTCGCTACGCTCCTGTGGGCTCAGCCGCTCCCCCAGCTGGACTTCGTCTATGTCATTAGACAACTTTCCATCCCCCAGCAAGTCTGGGAGGGGAAGGTTGTCAAACTCTTCAGAGGTAGGCGCACAAATGGCCGTCACCTCTTCAGAGCGCTCCACGTAGGGCTTCATCATATTCACATGGATCATGCGTCGGCCCCCTGAATCGGTACACGGGCCAATTATATAGGTGGTGTCACATCACTGTTGCAGCACCTTATAAGGGCCCTGCCAGGCGGCCTGTAGCTTGCCGGACAGGTTTTAAAATTAAAACTTTCTGCCCAACCTGGAAGCTACGGTCCCTGGCACTCCGATCATACCAGGTGCGCTGACGTGTCTGGGCCGCCTGAAGGTTATCCCGGACCACCTGGGTTAGTTCCTCCAGCCTATTCCGGAACTCCAGCACATATGGTATGATGGGGGTACCATCAGTGTTGCGATCTCTCTCCCAGTGCTCCTTAATGAGGTCCAGGGGACCTCGTACTCATCTCCCGTACAACAGTTCAAATGGGGAGAATCCCGTGGATTACTGTGGCACCTCCCAATACGCAAATAGGAGATGTGGCAGGAACCACTCCCAGTCCCGATGAGTTTCAGCGAAGGTTCAGAGCATCTGTTTCAATGTCCCATTGAACCGTTCGCAGAGCCCATTGGTCTGGGGGTGGTAAGGGGCACTAATTATAGGCCTGATGCCACATATCCTCCAGAGGTGTTGGGTGACCTCTGCGGTGAACTGAGTGCCCTGATCCGAGACAATCTCCCGGGGTAACCCTACCCGGGTGAAGATCCGCATGAGGGCCTCAGCTACCGTCTCTGCATGGATGTTGGTCAGTGCCACCGCTTCTGGGTATCTGGTAGCATAGTCTACTACCGTCAATATATAATTCTTGCCAGAGGGGATAGCTCTTTTCAAGGGGCCTACTTTGTCCACCGCTATCAGGCTGAACGGTTCTTCCACTATGGGGAAGGGATGTAGCTTGGCTTTCCTACAGTCCCCCCTTTTCCCACTCTCTGGCAGAGTGGGAAAAAAAATTACCTTCTTGTAATGACCCCAGCATTGACACTGATGACACTGGATGGAGCTTGGCGGTCGGAACTGCTGTTGTGTCACTGCAGGGTGAGGGAGGTGTCGTGGTGGTGCCGTTGGCCCTGAAGTGTATGTGGTAGTTACGGTGGGTCGTGCGACCGCCTTGCTGGGCACCGGTTTCTGTTTTCTCTGTGCATCAATATATTCATCCGCCCTCCGAGCTGCTTCGGTGAGGGTTGTAGGATTACGATCCCGCACCCATTCTTGTATTTCTTCTGCCAATCTATTGTAAAATTGTTCCAGGAGCACCATTTGTAATAGATCCTCCATGGACTGTGCTTTATTGGCCTGTATCCATCCCAAGGCCGCTCGGTGCAGTCGACAAGCCCATTCTGCATGAGAGTCCTTTCCAGTCTTTTTGAGCTCCCGGAATCGCCTCCGGTATGCTTCGGGTGTCATGGCATATCTGGCCAGTATAATTTCCTTGACTCGGTGGTAGACTCTTATTTCATCGTCCGGTACTGTGCGGTACGCCTCTGCCGCTCTCCCCGTTAGCCGAAAATGGAGACCCAATCCTCGGTATTAATCTAATGTAGGGCACACAGCCTCTTAAAGTCCTGGAGGAATGGGTCAATATCCTCCTCTGCCTCTACATTGGTTTTAAATGCATGGTACGGTATCTTGGGTTTGTTCTCCTGTACCATGGTCACCCCCTGATTCCTCTCTGGAACTTGCTGGACCCTCCGTCTTAGTACAAATTCTTGCACCTCTGACATGGTTCTGGAGATGATCTCAGTGGGTGGGTTTTCTCCATAGAATGATAGCCTGAATTGCAGTTCCCTCTGAAATCCAGACCACTCCTGTTCCTCAACTGAGTTGCTCTGTACCAGAGCCGAACCGCCCTCTGCTCTGTATTCAGCCTTGACTTCCACAACCATAAATGCCTTAGTCTTATTACTGGCGGAGATACCCCTTGCTTCCAGAAGATCCTTTAAAGTGGATTGCTTTAATGTGGTGTAATCGATCTCCATCCATGATCCATTGGTGCTGTTGCCTTTCCTGGTACTTGTTCCTCTGTGAGTCCGGATCCCGACGCTGCCAACCAATGTAGCAGAGAGCTGATATCACACAGGCTTGTAGATCCCAGTATGGCTCAGGAACAAGCAATAATCCCAGGTACAGTGCCCACAGTGAGAGAATAATCCAGCAGCATAACACACACAATCAGCAGTAAAATCCAATAGTATCCCATCACTTTTCCCAATAACTGGACGACACACAGTATCAGGACCAGAACTGAACTTTAATGCAATGCTTTTATGCAATGCTCCCATGCAAGGGAGACACACACAATAATTAGTACAGTAACCAATAATATTACAGTAACCACCCACAATTCTCCTCCCCTCAGATAAGCATTTAACATAATTAGCAAGTACACACTTTACCCCGAGTTTTAGATGTACCCCAAATACCCAGGGTACACCTGGTATTCCCTGATAGCCCTGGTCTGGGTGAGCAACATATTCGAAAATCACCCAGATCGGACCAGGGGTTCGGGAGTTACGGAGGTTTAACGTTTTGACCGACCGCACAGGCAACAGTAGCCGAAAATAGTTCCATAAGTTTTGGCCTTGTGGTCGGTCTCTTTTCATGTTTTAAAAGTCCCGAAATACATGCCATCCAGGGTTGATCTTGTATTCGCATAAATCCTTTAGTGTGAGAGAGTCTTTCTACTGAGCGCTAATAAATAAATAAGTGAATAAAAAAACACAACTTGTGCAGGGGTTGACTTACACAATAAATATTGTATAATAACAAACTTGAAGGTATATATGAAAAGAAAAAGAACAAAGAAAAAATATATAGTGTAGATGGTATGGAGAATAATAATCATTAGTAGATGAATAACTAGAACCACTCACATGATATGGAGCCTATAAAATATTGGCTCTGTAAAATGGACTTCTTTGCTTTTGGGCAGCAACACACCACTCACTCTATGACGTTTCATCCAAACGAAATACAAACAAGAGAGAAGCGACCAATGTGTGATATTGTATAAATTCAGATAAATCTCCTGCTGGTAAATATTACGCTCACCCTTTTCAGAGCGTTCAATGCCTGGCTCTGAGGGTAATTAGCAGAGTGCCACTTTTCTGGAGATGGCACTTCCCCAGTGAAGATTCTTTGAGGCTTCATGGACTTGGTGGGTATAGCCTATAAAATAAAATTAAAATGTATTGATAACAAATAAAAACATGTAGTATTTTCTTTTCATATGTACCTTCAAGTTTGTTATTATACAACATTTATGGGGTAAGTCAACCCCTGCACAAGTTGTGTTTTTTATTCACTTATTTATTAGCACTCCACTAATTGGTATATAGTTTTATACCATATTTTGTGTTGATGTTGGACATTCTCACACTTTGCATGAGGACATCTAATATATTCAAATTCCCCATTGATTAAATAATTTTTATGGTGAAGTATCAATGCGCATGCGGCAAGAGCTGTGCATGCGTTTTAGGTCCCGCCCTCACAGTGACGTCGCAAGAGGAGGACACCTAGCCAGCGTCATGGGAGCCTCGGCGCTTCAAACATCTAAGTTAAAAAAGGACCAATGGGGACAAGAACACTATAGCGCTAGGAATACAGGTTTACATTCCTAAAGATAAAGTGTTTCTTTAAGCACTGCCCTTGGTTATAACTATGTATTTTATTCTGATGGGTATAGAAGTATTTGTGTTCGATTGGGGAATGGATACATACCTTGCCCCCCAAAGGAGGCTGATAAAATTTGGTATCGTCTGGGGGGGGAAGGTGATTGTATTATATTTGCATGAATGAGCAGCAATTTATATATGAAATTTCTGTTTTATTATGTGTTTATTTCCTAGGTATGCATCGCATGTTTCAAATAATGTCATGCAATTTGTTTTTTAAACAAAAACAACTTTGTGTTGAAGCGATGAAACAGGGCTGCTTGCAAAAGGTACCTTGCGTTGAGCCGCAGTGATTAAACTGCATCCCTGTGGCACATTTATCCCATATTCCCATATGTGCTCCCAGTAAAATGTGAGTTATTGTAGTGGTTATAGTCTGTATGTGCATTGCATGTGTTGTTTGAGTAAAAGGGTGTGAACTGGCTACTGGATATGCGATGGTTTGTTGAAACTTTATCCTTTTCCCGTCTGATTTGACGATTTAACTCAATGGATAGTAGTATAACTGAAATAGCGCACACCTTAAACTGTTTGTCCGCATCGAGAGTGTAAGAGAATTCCACCTTAGTTAAACAAATAACACAGAAAAAGTATGAAACATTCTGGCCGACGTATAGTAGTACTTTATATATGTACTTCTAGAGAGTTGTATACCTCAGAATTGTGTACAGGGTGTGTACAGCACTGTTCAGTCACCGAATGCTATGTGAATAGCTGTGATAGGTCCAAATCCAGGAACCCTTAATCCTAATGGTGGGTTAAAGAACTGCAGCTATCAGAAGGGATTCTTATACAAAGTCACTGCTCAGACTTTATGTCTTTATCATAAGCTTATACATAGAAACAGACAAAGGGCTTAAACAGAGAAACAGGCCAAGAGAGAAAGTCGATACAGAGAGAGGAATGGCTATTGTATTATGCCAGGACCTCAGAAACACACATTCTGCTTTTACTATATATTAAAACAAAAAATTGTCAAGGTTCCTGAGCCCAGAAGCCATAAAACATACTGGTCTAACTTTAGTAAGGTTTCTGGAGTAAGCTGAAATGAATATCCTGTCCTGATCTAAAAGAAATGGCAACATTCAAGGCAAGTGCGTTACGTTTTCCACTTCACAGTCAGTTGCATTGGCATTGTGCATTCTCCTTTGCTGGGTTTAGGGAGCACTTCCTTGGATGATAAAGTTCCACCGGAGGCATACAAGGAGTATATAGAGAGTTATTCACAACATGATTTACATGTCATTAATCTGAGCAAAGATCTTCATTCCACAAGCTCCAATTCAGATCATTAACGGAGTTATTTACTAAAGTGAGATTTCAAGGTGAATTTAAGGTGAATTTCAAGTTTTAAGGCCAGAGTAGTGACAGAGATTTTAGCCCAGTTTGGCTATTTGACCTTAAATTCTAAATTCACCTTGAATTCTCCTTAAAATAAAGTTGGACATTCAAATGTACTTGATTAGATAAAAGACTCTAGAGCCAATTTCATTTACGTGAAGTTACATCTCAAATTATTCTTAACCTTTTCAGGACTAGAGGAATGAATGCTCACTTCTCTGGCACTCGCGGGGTTAAACGTGCTGGTACTGTACAAACCCTGCTTAAAACAGAGAATGCAATCATTTTTCATCCGTTTTATTGAACTGTAATCTGCGTTAACAAATCAATGTGTTTTACTCCTTTGTCTGCAAGGCATAATAGAAAGGTCTGGGTATAATTGACACTGTGCTTTCACAGTGAGCCAGCTGAACTTGTTTGACGGGATACATGGAACTGGATAAACAAGCTTGCTGTGTCTGACGCACAGTGACGCATCATTAGAGGCATAAGTCATGCAGACAATTTACCTCAGCTAAAAATAATACACTTCCAGAGAGACTTGCTAAATGTGGAT